ATGCATTGTACAGCTCAATTTCCAGTCGTGCATAAGCATGCTTACCGTGGTCATAAATGGTATTTTCTTCATTATTGGTCCGTACTATCTTAGCAATAAATGGGCTTTATTTGCTTCGACTACAATTGCATGGCAAGTGGTGCATGTTTTAGATGGGTAAGAGGATTTTTTACCATTTATAAGTTTTCTATCATTTAGCAGAAACAACCTGTTTCCTTTCGTAGCTTTCATTATGATATGGCAATTTCTAGTTTTTCTGACAAAGGTTGCATTTCAGAAATAACAGCTATCTGACAATTATTTGCATCTGAAGGAAACAAATTTTATAGAGAAATAATGTTTCTAATTTTAAAAGCTGAAATCATTCACTGATTTCAAATTCATATCATATGCTAATTGTTGGGAACTCCAACGTCCTTCAAAGACTCCTCGATTAAATTTTAGATCGGTACATTACATTTAAACTAAACAGGGATTTTATAAAAAAGTAATCTATATTCGCTTTTGCATCGATTTATCTTATAACGCTTGTGTTATATTTGATTATATTTAAATATATATTTGGTATAATTAAATAGAATTATTTTCCACTAAATTTCACTTAAATATTTGAAATGCAAGCTTTTAAGGAAATGACACGAAATTTACTTACAGGTTTGTCGTACTGTTTTTCAATTGGCATCACATGAAGTGTTTGCGAATTAATAATGGTAACAATTTCTTATTGATATTGAAATGTGGGATAGAAATTCGTACAAAATTTTAATATTTTACCTTAGCATTTTCGTTGAATCGGATATTTGAAATTTTATACGAAATGATTCCGATATCACAATTTAATGGATAATTTCAGTAGGAACGAGTCAAAGACAGCAGGGATGGTGAGATGGCATTGGGAAAGTCACTGATCGATCAATTCTTAAGTTCTTTTTTCAAAGGAATCCAAAAGAAAACACTATAGTTGATATCAAGAGGAAAAGCGGATATTTTAGTGATGAAAAACTGATCTTAGTGTTTCGTCCAGTGAAATTATTTGCTAAATTAATAAAAGAAGTAAAAAAGCGAAGGTCGTTTTCTCATTTTTTCAATTTCTCATAAAAATATTCGAATATACCTATCATATATCATTGCAATATATTTAAGATCGCATTTGTTGCAAATACTGAAAATCGAAATATTTTTTGTCAAATTCATTTCATTTTCAAAATTACTGTGTCATTTTATTTATCGAATGTATTTAATGTTTAATAACAACAATTCACGGCCAAATATCAATTATAGAATAAATGCCCTATCAAAATATTCAGCTTCCTCTGCTACCATTTCGCCAAGTTACTAATTCATTGATAGTACAATTGTCGTAAGAAAATGACATTATCGTGAAAAATTGTTACCTGGTTTGGAAGGGATTTTCGATGAAGCTTGTGCTTCTGACATGGATGCAGAGGGGATAGTAAAGGTTTAGTAATATAGGTGACAATGTATTAGTTAGTACAGAAAATACTAAATCAGTTATGAATAAGTTCCTTATTGATGGGAAGAGGAGGGAAATTTTTGTGTTAAATTGGAGATAATTGAAGATAAATTGGAGATGGAAATCGTCGGATTGTCCAAAAAACTGATTTTAGAAACTTATATTGTGGATGTGATTTACAAAACCAATACATTACATGAATGATTAATTCTCAAACAAAGGAATGCGGGTTTAACGGAAGTCCAAACATATCATTGGATATAAGAACGGTTACCAGATTAGGTAATTTAACAATATACCCATCAACGAGCATAAGCTGGGTTGTTGGACCACCTGCTCAACAAATATTACAAATGGCTTGGTTATCAAAGCGACAATCCTTTATGACAGTATTACGGAAAATGGATAAAATGATTCATCACTTGATACGTTAGAAATTTTTAATTTTTGTATAGTAAATCATTTATCAAAAAAGTGATCTAAATAAGACAGTATTTATGTATATATTCAAATTTGTGGTGTACATACTTTGATTTTTTTAACGCGTTATAAATTTTCTTCGGTTTTCTAGCAACCATTGTTTGTGCTTTGTCAAGCAATTAGATATAATGATAGTACCGGCAGTAAATGTGAAGTTCCGTAGTAAAGAAAAGTGCATAGACTTATGATATGATTATAAGACTTATGATTATAATTGAATGTGTAATGATTTACTGATCTGTAGATTGTAATTCTCCGGCGCAATCTCGTATCCATTAACTGCTTGTAATCAATTTTTGGTCATGAAATTTAATCAGGATATGCTTTAGCAAGTTCCTTTCGATAATTAATTATGAACTTACATGTTCTAGATTTTCTCCCAACTTCTGCATTTGTCTGATTGTTGTTTTCCATTCACGACCATTTTTTCTGACTCAGAAAAGATCGTTGTAAAACAAATTTGTGATAACATACGTACCACCATATTTCTCCATCAATATCCCTTGAATAAGATTGTAATTCTTTGGCCCAATCTCGTATCCATTAATTGCTTGTTATGCTTCATTTCTTAAGCACGAAATAAGGTAATTGAGCTTCTGGATGTCTGAAAAGCCCTGGTGATATATCGCTGCTTCAAAGCCGCTCCAGAATGCTCTCCAGTTTCGAGGATTCCCGCTAAACAATGGCAGTTGCAGTCGAGGCAGTTTGACTGTCACTCTCTGAGCTATTTGATCAGTTGCCTATCTTTCTTGTAGTGACATTTCGCTCGCTAACACGTCTTTTGATCTGAGATTACTCAAACTCTCTATATGTCGAATTTTATCGCCTGAATCGTCCTCATATGTTTTTAGAGTTGTCACTGCTTCTCTGACTTTTCAGGTTTAACATCCCATGGTCATCCATCATTGCCGCGTACTTTCTGTTCTCCGTGTTCTGATTTCTGTTGCTGAGGAGGGACCGTTTGAATAAAATCCTTCCATTCTTTATTCATGCGTTCTAAGACTGCTACATGTGATTTCATTCTATCATTTCCTTGATAGTTCCTTTCCGTGCTTCATAATATTCGCATAACTCTTCGTAACGTAATTATTTATCAAATGGTTTCAGATCCAATTCATAGTGGTATGTCATTGAGGAAGTGATCATTGGGTAGAGGATATGGTCATTGAGCAGGGGATATGCTAAAGGAAATGTATTTGGCAAATAGAAAGAATATCGTAGTTTGTTGTTCAGTGGTGGCAAATATGCGAAGATCTCGTTGTTTGTGGTTTCCGCTGTGAAAGATATGTGAAGAGGATGTATTGTCTGTTTGATTGTAAAAACTAAACTGTTTCGGATTTTTCCTTTTATATATATAAGGATTAGAAGGAGTTTTGTAAGCCCCATCGGGGTTATCATGAAGGTATGACTGCCCTTTAGCATTTTCCATTGTATAGGTACAATGGATGTCATTGCCCGTGATGTAGTTACTGAGATGTCTTTGTGTTATGCTGTCCATTGTTAGCTTATATTCTCTTAATTGCTTTAGTTTTGCGAGATTTCATCACTCTGCCTGTTAGATATTGTGGAAATTTTATTTGAACATAGTTTCAATTTCGGTAATCCGACAAAAGCTACTTACTTAAATGTGACACTTTCATAATTTTCGAGTAAGACTAAAAATTTTCCAAGTGTTCACGAGTGCGCAATTCATATTACAGCAACTTTATGCGGCATACTATTTCACATATCATTATATATATATATATATATATATTTTTTAAATCTGTCAGGATCAAAATATTTGTATCAAGTATTTATGGCAACTCTCGTAAGTACACTCTATTCTTCTTGAATTAAGATTTCAAAATTCGAAGGTCTCCTTAGAAGGGACAATAATTATTTAATAAAATCCATTTTAAAAGAATAATCGTGTAATATAATTAAAGCGAATGCTTTTCTTTCCTCACTCTTTCTCCTAATCTCCTACTTGAGAAATTTCCAGGCAACCTATTACTTACAATTTCTCTTCTTTTCCATGTTATTTCACTTTAATTTAGGAAAAACTATCGACTTCGAGTATCGACACAAATTTTAATCAGTACTGGTTGAGTGAGTAGCTCAGGGAAAATTGTGTTGTGGGCATCAATTTCAAGCTGTGCGAGAAAATCAAACTTAAAAAAGCTGAGAAGTCTTAAGAAAGTAAAACGACTAGAAGAAGACAAAAAACGGTTGGTTGTTTCACTTTCATATGGAAAGACCTAGGCACCACATTTAAGTGAAAATTATAGTAAAGTATAGAAGTTTTAGGAAATGTTGAAGGTAAACAGAAAAGACGCTGTTACATGTCAATTAATTACGTGGACCATCAGAGCTATGAGATGACGAAGTGAAATGTACAGAAAGGCATGACATCTGAATTATCATTCACGAGATACATGTTTGATTTTAATTTTTAGATCAGTCACCTTTTTGAATAATACTGATATAAGTATCACTAAAGAATTGATAATTTAAAATCAATTTAAGTCAACGATTGCAGGGTGAGTTCTTTTTTCAAATAACTGCTAAAAATGGAATACTCTAAGCAAAATGGCAGAAGATGAAGCTGAATATTTCCATAATACATATATTCCATGATTGATATTTGGCGGTGTTGTTATTAATTTCAAATACATTCGATAAGTAAAATTACATTAAGAAAAAAATTATATTTCGATTTTCAGTATTTGCAACAAATGCGATCTTAAATTTATTGAGATGATATGTGATGTGGTGGATTTTTTCTGAATCGTGGAGTGATG